CGAGAGAGAGAGAGAGAGAGAGAGAGAGAGAGAGAGAGAGAGAGAGGCAACATTTGTGGACTAGAAAACATGCCGCCGCGTGGACATTCGCAGCGGAAAAAACGAGACAGCCTCGGCGAAGGCAGGCGTGGGTTTGGGTTACTAGTGGGCGTGGGTTTGGGTTACTAGTGGGCGTGGGTTTGGGTTACTAGTGGGCGCCGTGGGTTTGGGTTACTAGTGGGCATGGGTTTGGGTTACTAGTGGGCGTGGGTTTGGGTTACTAGTGGGCGAGGGTTTGGGTTACTAGTGAGTGTGGGTTTGGGTTACTAGTGGGTGTGGGTTTGGCGTGGGTTTGGGTTACTAGTGGGCGTGGGTTTGGAAACCCACGCCAAACCCACGCCAACTAGTAGTAGCGTGGGTTTGGGTTACTAGTGGGCGTGGGTTTGGGTTTGGGTTACTAGTGGGCGTGGGTTTGGCGTGGGTTTGGGTTAGTGGGCGTGGGTTTGGGTTACTAGTGGGCGTGGGTTTGGGTAACTAGTGGGCGTGGATTTGGGTTACTAGTGGGCGTGCGTTCAGCATGGGTTTGGGTTACTTGTGGGCTTACTAGTGGGCGTGGGTTTGGGTTACTTCAGGTACCGAACATGGTAAGCGCGGCTGTCCACGGTGCCGCCAGCACCGGAGGGGGAAGGCGAGAAGAGGGGACGCACGAGGAGGCGGGAAGGAAAGAGCAGACGACATACCGTACTCCGGTAGCCACCGACGACGACGACGAGCCTATCGCGAAGAGGAAGAAAAGATTGCGGCAGGAGGATGACTTGGACGCAAAGTCGAAGCAATGGACGGACAGAAAGACATTATGGGGGGCAGGACTTGGTCGCCTAATCGCTGACGCTGTGCACTCTTGCGCAGACTACTACTGCGCGATCGTGAATGGTGACGCTAGCGCCAGCGCTCCCGCAGGCCTAATCGTGCCAACGAACGACGTCCCCCGCTTTCGGAGCGAAGATCCAGCGCAGCGCGATCCAACCCTTCGTAGGGTGAGAAGGACAGAGAATGTGGCCATGCGCGTGATCCACGGGTAGATCTTCAGGCCCCCTTCCAAAACCGATGGTTTCGTCCGCGCGGTGTCAGTGGACTACCCGACGAATCTGGCGAAAGCAGTATGGCAGTCCCTGGAGTGGTCGAGGGTGGTCTCTCCCAGTGTTGTTTATCACACGCTCGCCCTTAAGATGGACATTCCGTTGTGGTATATCGGGGCGTACATCCACGACCGGCCGGAGGACGATGACATGGCTGCCCTTCAAGAATCCACGGTCTTGCATTTGGCGTCCTGCTTCCAAGATGCGCTCCGCGGCGGCCAGTGGCCCAAGAACGGGAAGATGTCCCAGTCCAGGCTGAATAGAATCGGGGACGCCTTCCGCCTTCTTCTCACCGCCAACATGTGGATCATGCGCATGGCTGGCCACGACGGTCGTTCTCACTACGAGGCACCGTACTACTTGCAGCTCGTCGCAAAGCCGACATTGCTATAGGCGGGGTCGAAGGCATTGCACTGGTGTAGGCATATTGTTGACTCCGCGAATGTTGTATTGTATCGCCTTGGGAAGCCGCGCGTGACGTTGGGTACATTTCCCAACTACATCCTGGAGTGGGTGGCTTGCGGAATCAGCTTAAACTACAATGCCAGGTTGGCGGACCCTGATGTGGCGGCAAGGATGAATTGGTTGAGAAAGGGACCTCTCGTTGACGAAACGAAGGACGATGGAGACAATGGCGATGGAGGGTTGTGAGAATCGTCGTAGTGCCACCTCCTCGCCTTGTCCGCGTGCGGAGCGGAAGGTCCCCCAATTTATGGCGTCGTGTCCATCGTCCTTCGTCCGCAGAGAGAGAGAGAGAGAGAGAGAGAGAGAGAGAGAGAGAGAGAGAGAGAGAGAGAGAGAGAGAGAGGGGGGGGGGGGGGGGGGGGGGGGGGAGGGACAAAAGGAGGGCGTGGGGGAACGAAAGGAGGGGGCGGGGGAACTGGAGGAGGGGGTGGTGGAGGGGTTGCCACATCCGCCCAGCGGAGATTTGTTAATGGACGGACGCTGTGCTGGCGTCGGTGGTTGTTGTTGTGGTCGGTCGACGCGTGCATTGGAAAGGAAGTCATTATGAGAATGACATCTTTTTATGTTTTTAGAAAAAAAACTTACGTCCACATGGACGAATGCATCTTTCTCGCGTGCGCTGTCTTCTTTGTACTCCTCTCGCCCATGTTCATGCTTGTCATTTGTGTATGATCTCGGAGAGCATGGATCATCCAGTAATTGCATGCGTCTTTAATGCTGTCATGAACAACTTATGAATATGGTGTGTGATACTTGGTGTAACTTTCAGCCTTTCAGACACATCATTTTTTTTTTATTTTTTTTTTCGCACATGAGTACTGCCGACTTCAATCATTCGAATTTGTGATTGCCATTTCCGTATTGATTCACCGAATGATTGATTGATTGATTGTCTGACACATCTATTGACCAATTGATTGATTGAATGATTGGTCGATTATTTGATTAATTGCCTGATTGATCGAATGATTGATTGATTGATTGATCGATCGATCAGTCGATGGATTGATTGATTGATTTATCAATCGATTGAACGATTAACTGATCGATCGATTGATTGATCGATCAATCGATGGATTGATTGATTTATTTATTCATCGATTTATTCCTTGATAAACTGATTGATCGATTGAACAGTTCTCATAAAACAATGTTCATGATTTTAGTGTGATTGAACACGTCGATGTGACTCCGATGGGATCATCACCGAAGACATGCAGCACACAACTAAGCACAAAATGAGCAGGAGAGAAACTTGAACCGTAACATGGCCACACTGCTATAGAAGGATGAAAAGAAAAAAAGGTTGGAGAAGTTCAAGACATAGAGTAAAGGCGATAGCGCCATCGTATTAAAATCGTTGGTGGAGCACCGTCCATCGCTCTACAAATGTTTAGCAAGAAAAGAACAATGAAAAATCTACGCTAAAAAAAAACAAAAAATGCATAGACCCGGCTATCAACGTTCCCCTCCCCCCCACCTTCCTCTCCACCCCCCAGCCGTGGCGACCAACGCCAAACATTAGGACGATCGTCCTCCGCAATAGAGCAACGACCGAGGTAGTGCTATGGAGAGTGCTTGAGTGCGTTCACTCATGTTTCATGCGCTCCACAAGTGTTTCGCGCAAGGCCAGCGCCCGGGGCCGATTGAAGTTCTCCGCAATGGGGTGGGGTGGATGATCCATCCCCAAGTCTACTCCCCGGCGCACACCATTCGCATCCACCTCCCACGACAAGTTGTCGTCGAAGTCGATGCCGCCATCCAGGAGGATGTTGTGCAGAATGCACACCTTGGACCTGTTGCGGGAGAGTGTTCATTTTCGTTTTGTGTGTGCAGAGGAAAAGCCTCCACATGCCCTTCAACCTACCAAAAGCTCTCTCCACTGCTCCTCTGGCGACCTTCTGCTTGTTGTCGAACCTCTCCTCGTCGGGGATTTGATCGGTCCTCCAAGAGGCACCATGATCCACTCCATGGGAGGATAGTCATCATCGCCAAGGATGTACCCATGTGTTTGCACCCCGAATGGCAGGAGCACAGCAGGACCACGAAAAAGATCCCCCTCTTCAGCGCGCACCCACAAAGTGGACAATTGAAGCACTCGGATGTCGTGACAGCTCCCGGGATAGCCGACGAAAATGTCTGTCACACGCGGTCATGATACTATCTTACCCCCACGGGGGCGCACATTTTGACCCCTTAGGGTAACGAAGAGCGGTCGACGACGACCAGGATAGCATCATGACCACGGGGGCACACATTTTGACCCCGTGGGGGTAACGAAACGCTGTCGAAATTTTCTGTTTTTTCTTTCGCTTAGTATTTTCAGCACATCATGAGCTGCCTTTGCCTGCGAAGGGACAATCTCATCTTCAAGTGAGTTGCTGCTCTCTCAATGCGATAACGAATGGCGACGGCCGACACAGCCGCAACCACGACATTTCTCTCCGAAGTTGTCAATGCATTCCCAAAGGCCCGCACCTCTCCCTCCATGTTCATGACGTGCAACGCTGAAATGCCCAACACCCCTTTGCTCGCCGGCACCCTCGTTCCCTTGTCTCCACGTCGGTGGATATGGCGGCAGCACTCTATGTGCTTCACGGAATCCCACGCTTCACGCACCCTCCCGACGTACGTGGTCAGCTATGGCGGACCACATGATTGTCGTGGATGACCCGTAGAGGAAGGTGGAACCCGTTGGCGACGTCGCGCGGGACGACCGTTACCGTTCATGCTACGCCGGCGCGAGTTCCAATGCCCGCCTATTAAGCCATGCCCGCCACTACTCCGTACGGACGTTTGGCTCCAGTGTGCACTCCAGCGGCCTTCTCGCCTCTGGCGTGGATGTATCATTACAAAGGTTTGAAATTTCAAATTTTGAACTCACGACGCACGGACATCCGAGCACGACGAAGGACATCCGCCCCCGAGCACGGCCACAGACATCCACCCCCTGCGGCCGCGTAGCCGCCGGAGGCCTCCAAGGGTTTTCCTTGGGACCCATCAAATTCGGACGCGGTGTAAAGACAACGCAGAAAACCGAAAACCGAAAATTTTTCCAAGGACTTCGTCCTAGTTCCTGAGGATTTTCCAAGGAGTGTCTAACGAGGCCCTTAGAAAACAACAGAAGAATTACAGTGCTCTACGCATGAACCTAATCCGTCCATATCGGTGTTTCCTGATCAGGAATACGCCACCAGTGCCCCCAGGGCTGTCATTCATATGATCTACGTCCCCTTGGCTGTGAGTGCGCTTGCCGCCGATGAGCGGCGCACCAGCTGGCGCTGATGTGCCGCCCCTGCCTGCGCGTCCCCGCACCGCCCCAACTTTCTGTTGCGCTTACAGCTTGGCAGAAGCAGGCAAGGAGGGCGGGAACTGAGAGCGTACGCACACTACCGGTAGCAATATTTTAAATGTATCTGACCGCATTTTACGCCCTGACCTGTTTGTATCTAGGCGTAATTCCGTCCCGAAATAAGTAAAAATGTCCTAGTGTCAGTATGCCCTGGTAGGCCTGTTTGTTTTGTTTTTGGGGGTGCCACTCCGCGACTCTCGAGTATATGTCGGCGGGGACGCGACGGGAACCCTCCCCCCCCGCTCATTGCTCCCATGGGCATTTCAGTAATCAAGTGCGCGAGGGCGGGAAGGAGACACAGCATCAATCAGCCGCCATTTTTCGTGCCGCGCACTGAATCCAAGATTTCGCGTTGATTTCCTTTGCCCCTTAGCCGTCAATTTAGGATCTTCTCGTTTGTCGGGCTTTCTCTCTCTCTCTCTCTCTCTCTCTCTCTTTCTCGCTCTCTCGCTGTGTGTGCTTCTCTCTCTGCGTGGGTGAGGCGCGCGAGGGTGTACCGGGAGCACAGGTGGGCTATTGCCGACGTTGTCCTGTTGTTCCCTCGGTATTTGTAGAAATGCATGGCACTATATATTCTTGGCCGTAGACGTAACGAATCTACGGTTGTAGCATGTTGACATGAGCGACGATTTATTTGCGGTCCAGTGGAACGATTGCCGTGCCTTTTTTTTTTTTTTTTTTTTTTTT